GTGTATCGCTGTTAGCCGTTGGGTTGGCCCATTAAGATCGTCCTTGTCCGCTTGTACCTCGGCGCAATAGGCATTGTGTATTTCCTCCCATGTGGTAGGGGGATATTTCATGAGGCGGCTCAGCAGCTTCTTGGTTGCCCTCGAACCATCTCTGCTTAGCCCGTTCTGGAAAGCGGCGACTGCCATACCTTCCGATACGTTTGGTAGACTCATCCTTACCCTGTTAAACCTTGCCAGGAAGTCCCTGAGTCCCTCTCCTGTGTTTTGCCTGACGGCGAAGATGTCGTTGACCCTGGCCTCCGCTTTCTTCGCGCCTGCGTGGGCTGTGACGAACTTATCTGCCATTTCCTCGAACGTTGATATTGCCTTAGCCGGTAGCTGAGAGTACCATGTTAAGGCCCCTCCTGTCAACGTCTCGCCAAACTTCTTCAGCAGTACCGACGGTACCTGTTCTTTCGATAGGTCGTTGCCCTTCACAGCGGTGACGTAGTGGATCAGATGATCCTCGGGATCTGTGGTTCCGTCATATACCCTCAAGTAGGGTGGCATCTTGAAGGTTTTTGGGGTGGAGTGAGGGGCAGCTTCTTCAGTGTATGGTTGTTCAACGAACCTTCCCACGTCGCGTTTTGGTAGCAACTTGGGAGCACCGGGGATCTTGTCGACCCTCTCCTGATGTTCCTTCATCTGACCGCGGAGCGCCTTGTTTTCATTTTCCATTTCTTCCATCTTCTTTAGGATGGCTGTTAGCGTGCCATCGTTGGTCTGTGTCTCGATGGGTTTGTTATTCGCTAGTGTAACTTCCGGTTCACCCACGACAACAGTGGTACCTACCGTTGGTGTACATCCGATGTTACTTTGTGGTGACCTCTCAACCAAGCCACTTAGAGCGCTTGTTAGCCATCTTTCCAGTAGCTCCTTGACCGCTGAGGGTGCTTCCGTAACCGCAGATGTGGAAGCTCCTTTTTCGTGCAAGATCGTCAGACTTCGGATGGGGAAGGTGAGGTCTCTGCACCCGGTGCGATGCTAGGGGTTGCATTCAGGATGCCATCGTCACTGGCCTCGTTGAGAGGCCAAGGAGATTGGTAGTGACACCCAATATAGCTTTCGATCTTGTGTTATTTTCGGCCATTTTCTGTTTTTAGTGGTGTAGAGAATGGTAGTTTGGTTGATCTCTAGGTGGATACTATGGTTTTGATTCTCGAAATCCCCACAGACGGCGCCAAATTGTTTGGCTCAAAAGTTAACAATATACTTTGTAAGCTAAAAAACAATCAAAAATAGGAAAAGGGTAAACTGTAATCAAATATAATAATCCTAGAGATGCAAAGATGATAATATTGTTGTAGATCTAGTATTGCAAAGAGACAGTATGAACTCAATAAGATACGTTCGTTTGAAGTAGAGATAGAGAGAGAAAACCAGAAAAATGAGAGAGTTGTATTAGATCAGATGCCCCCTTTTACAATGCGAGGGTCTCCTTTATATAATAAGAGACCCTCCTCGAAAGAATCAAAAAGTTACAAAGACAGGTAACGTCTCCCTAGTGAAGACACTGAGTCCTAAACGATGTCGCTTTTGTCCCCACGGCCGAGTCGTACCCGCTACGTTAGTTGGCGTACACTCACTGGGCGTACCCACTGGCGTAGAGATGCTGAGGGTCAAATTTGACCCTATACATACACCAAAATCAAAAAAACAAAAAAGAAAAAGAAAAGAATCGCCAAGCTGTAAATCGGAATATATTTTTCAAAAATTTAATTAAAATGTGATTGCTCAAGCCATGGCCAAAATCCAGGTGATTGGTCATCAATGGCACAGAGAAACATGTTGGGTAAAGTTTCTTCTCTGACAGTTTGGTCCATTAATTTCATATTGCTCTGTGGCACTTGTTGTGTTACCCCATTAGGCCTCATGGTGGGTGGGAACAAGAGTCTGCTGCGCCTAGTAATTGGCTGATGAGTAGTGGATGCTAATATTGGGCTGTCAATGGATGCAGGTGTCATTGAGATATCTAGCTTCATCATTTCTGCGCTGTTTTCACTTCTATTACTGCTTGAACCTTCTGTTTCCTTGTTCAAGTTGATTGATATTTCTGTTGGCTGCTGCTCTCCATTTTTTAGTCTCATTATCTGCATCCACGTAATTTTAATGGACCAACCAATAATAATACATTAACAGTATAAATCTAAAGAAAAGTTGATAATGAAGCCGGGGTGGCTCAACAAAGTTGGTGGCCTAAAGCCAAACCTTAATGAGTGGCCTTAACTCTAATTTTTTTAAATCTATTTTACCTCTTTACGGTTAATATTATTCTATAAGCAATATAGGCATAGGCGAAGCTATATGCTATAAAGGGTGGTCAACTGACCACTATTTGTCAAAAAATTACACTGCATGTATAGGTAACATATTAGATTTTAGAGGTATATAACATATATTGAACACTCTTTCTCGGAGAATTTTGTCCACTTCTTTTAAGTTTGAACACCCTTGAGTAAGTTCCTGGCTTCGCCACTGAATATAGGCATTTGGAAATGAAGCAAGTCCTTTTAGCTGATCGAATATATTGATTAGAGTATTATTTTCTACTTGTATTATCTTACTGTAATACTTTTAAGTCAAAAATAAGTTTAAACCATCAATATCTATCTTGGTTAAGGCAATGTCTATCAAATTCTCGTCACCTAGTTTTATCAAATTCATTTACCTTTAAACATGAAATCAAAAATATTTTCATATGCTTCTAATTGTTCAAAATTTTAAAGTTTTATTTTCTTAGTTTATTAAAAAGTTTGTACTTTTTTTACTTCAAAATATTCAAATTTTTAAAATTAATTCATAAATCTATTATTAGTGAAAAATAGGGCCCCTAAAATTTTGGGGACTAAAGCCCTTGCCTTACTTGTCTTATGCTTCAGTCGGCACTAAATGTAGCATTCAAATATGTAGCCTAATGATCATTAAAGTGGATGAAAACTACTACTATAAATACTACTATTGACAAGAGTTTACTGCTCCAAATAAATAAACTGATATATGAAGATGTGTTTGGCAAAAACAAAAAAGTTTTGAGTGTAGCCGCGGATATTTTTATAAGACTTCAAAAATTTCGCAAGAAAACTTCAAATAAATAAATAAGATATTACTGCTTTATTCTTTTAAATTATCATGAGCATTGAATCAACTAAAAGGGAACATGGGAAAAAGATTCTTTTTCCGCTGAAGAACATACACATCATGGTTTGGAATCCACTAGCAAAGAAAAAAGGTTCAGTATTTCACCAAAGTAGCCAATATGCAGATTATAACAAACAGCAACAGAAAGAAGCATCCTTATTGTTCAAGTTTTAGCAAAGACTAGAAAAATTTTACTTCCTTAATTTCATTTTATTTAAACTTGTTTGACTAGACTTAGTGTTTAAAAAAAAATTAAAATTATGATTTTAAACATGTAATGATATTTGTTGAAAATTATGTCACTAGAATAGTAAAATGAGAAGGTTAATATTAAAAAAAAAAAAAAAAGGCAGCAGCACTGGGCTCACGCAGGGTCCGGGGAAGGCCGCACCAAGGGAATGTGATGTAGGCAGCCTACCCTGATGCAAGCATCAGTGGCTGATTCCACAGCTCGAACCCGTGACCTATAGGTCACACGGAGAAGGTTAATATTACACTGTTACTAAATATAGAAAAATATTATTCTTGATGAAAAAGATTAAAAAAGAATAGTTTATGTGACATATATAATCAATTAAAAAAAAATAGTGTCATTGATTTGGCCATACCTCTGCATGAAGCTTCTGATTGTGAGCTAGGAGGGAATCATTTTCTGCCTTGACAGCTTCAAACTGTCTCTTGAGAACATCATAGTCTTTCTCCAATTGCTTGGTTTTCCATCTTGCTCTCCTATTTTGGAACCAAATGGCAATCTGCCTTGGTTGTAATCCAAGAGCTCTAGCCAACTGCATTTTCCTCTCTGGCTCAAGTTTATTCCCTAACTCAAAGTTCTTCTCAAGTGTCTTCACTTGCTCCATATTAAGCCTCCTAATTTTCTTCTCCCTAGCTGCCTCATGTGAACAATCATCAGATAAATCTTCCTCTCCATTCTTTTTCTCACAATTATTATTAGCCTCCATCCCACTAAATGACATGGTTCTTTTCCCTAGAAATGAACCAACACCTGCATCAAAATAACCATTAATAAAATTCTTAATAAAAAAAAAGAACTTCTCCCTATATATAAAATGTAAATTTAAATAAAAAGGCAGTCCGGTGTACGAATTATCCTGTATTCAAAAACAAGGTTCGATGAAGGCAGCATCCCAAAGGGGATATAGGCATCCTACCCTCACACAAGTATTGACCACTGATTTCACGACTCAAATTCATGACTTATAGACCACGCGAAGACAACTTTACCGTTGCTTCAAGGCTCCATCTAAAATTTTAACAAAAAAAAGGCAAAAAAAAAAAAAAAAGGAATAAAAAAGAAAGAGTAAAAATGTTGACAAACCTTGGAAGTCTTGATGGTCGTCTTGATGAGAAGTATGTAGCATGAAATTGGGAGGGAAAAAAGCCATTTCATTAGTGCAAGTCATGACCTAGCTAGAATACTTTTGCCACAACTCCAAAAGTTATGTGACTTTGAATCATACTTGAGAGGAGGAAAACAGAGAAGAGATAAAGAGATCAACACTTTTATTCAATACGTACTACGGAAAATATTAGAAATGAAAGTAGTTGTTTTGTAGAGAAAATAAAATGGCAATGTCAGTTTTTGGGAAGCTAAGATGCATCTATATTTTTGAGGGAGGGATAGCTTATATACGTTATCAGCTTCATGAGGAGACAGGTGTCATTTGATACAATATTCATCGAAACAATTCATTAAATTTACACGTGAATAAATATTTTCCTAAACGAATATGTATGTATACAATTGATTGACACCACTCGAAATAATATGAAGCAACTATAAATTGGGACAGAGAAAATATATTGTTGTGACATTCACAACTCCAAAACCAAATCTATATACCAAATGAGTCGTGATAATAGATCGATATAAATAAGTTGTAATACTAGATCGCAATACATTTTCAAGAGACCTTTTCCCTACTTTATTTGTTATTCGATTTCCATACACATTATGTACGTACGAGAATATTTAAGTGCTTCTCTACTACGTTTTCTACTCTGTTACCACGTAATTAGTACTGAAGATAGGCTTCAGCAATATCTAAGTTATATTTATTTATTCATCAACTTTTTCAAGTATTCATGTATTCATTCATTCATATATTTTTCGATAACAAATTTAAAACCCATATACTTTAAATCCGGACTATATATAAATTTGGTCATTACAAATTTACTGACATACTTTGTTTTTATTACTTGAGGGTATCAAAGAGAGAAGGGGCGAGGGGAGGAATCTAGGGGATGGGTCCTAGAGAGAGGGTAGGACTGCCACTTAGCCCACCAACAGGTATCATGCATTAAGACTAACGCCTTTCCCATCCATTATACTTGAGAAGTTTTATTTTGTGTCTCATACAACTGATACTAGTTGTACGAGGCTTCTTTTTGTCTCACAAATTTGTGGACCCCAATCTTACACTTCTGGGTCCACAAAATTGTGAGACAAAAAAGTTGCCTCATACAACTAGTGTCAGTTGTATGAGACACAAAATAAAATTTTCCCATTATACTTTCCTCTCACCATCAGAGATCATAAGCATCAATCTAGTCTTATCAAATTATACGAGACGCGAATGGGAATTCCCTCGCGTGATCTTATTGTATGCATATATTTTAGGGAAAAGGGCATGATATGTCCCTCTACTTTGAAAAATAGTATTATATTGTCCCCCGTTATACTATCAGCACATTTAAGTCCATGCCGTTAGAAAAGTAGCCACATTTACCCCTATTTTTAACGGAATTCCACACCAGCAATTAAAATTCCACCTGGAATGCCACGGTGAAAATTAATAGTTTTATCAATCATTTCTCAAATTGCTCCGACCCTAATAGGGAATCTACGAGAAGTTTTATTTTGTGTCTCATACAACTGACACTAGTTGTATGAGGCTCCTTTTTGTCTCACAAAATTGTGGACCCCAATCTTACACTGCTGGGTCCACAAAATTCTGGGTCCACAAAACTGTGAGACAAAAAGTTGTCTCATACAACTAGTGTAAGTTGTATGAGACACAAAATAAAATTTTCCGCGGTTCTAGACAATCTCATGTTATAATGGGCAACACGTGGAAAAACAAAAAGCGCGATGCTATTTTTCAACTTAAGGAGAAAAATAAAAGGTCACGTGACATAAGTGAGTCGCATAATTAATGCTGGGACCATTAAGTTTACTGATGTTTCTTGAATTATTGTTGGAGTTGTGCAACATATATAATTATGTTTGGTAACTTACATGCATGCAGCAGCCAAACCTCTACTAATCTAGAGGACGCAAAATTATTGGAAATTAGATCCAGCTTACTTCATTGCAAATAATACAGACTACTGCTGCGAGTTATCCAAATCTAGGAAGCAACAACTAACACCAACAACCACAACCACCACAACCACAACCATAACAACAACACAACAACATCAACAATAACAATACCTCAATCCCAAACAAGTTGAGATTGGCAACTCAAATCTAGAGAGCAATCACGGAATGTTGAAATATTCCCTAATAGAAGCTTCACTCCGCATATTGAATCTCCTTCCCAAATCATCAGCCACGTCCTCGTGCAGGCTCCTAATAACCAAATAGTGTGCAGCCTGCGAAAGGTAGAAAAAAGTAATTACTATTACCGATTCTAATCAAATAGACAAGGATAAGAGAAAGGATAAAATTTGTACTTTGAGTAGAGCAAACAATGTTGGTTTAGGAACGTTCAGAAAATGAACAAGGAAGTTCCTATGTTCGTCTGTCGTCCTTGCATGCATACGTACGTGAGTTACATATTCAATTACCCTTACGAGAATTTCATATTTTATGCCAGGCAAATGTACACTAGGGTCATTATCGTTCGCCTCTTGCTTCTCTTGCCATATATTTTGTATGAGCTCAGATTGAAAAGCCACTTCCTCTTCAACCTGAATAGGTTGTACTCCATCTGTGGCCTGCAGAATGATCATGTTTTTTGGACAAGAGGAGGAAGTAAGAAAAGATTCAGAAATTAAATGTTGCCCAAGTGGATGAGCTTGGTGGTATGAAATCATGTACTCCTAGTATTTATAGGGTTCAACTTGCACAAACTTTAATTCCATAATGTAATGGTGTTTTTGTAATTATAAGAAATTGTAAGTGATTTCAAGGTACAATGATTGGCAAAACATAAGAATCAATATAGCGTGTTTTAGCATAAAAACATTTTTGTTGTTTGTCAAATGGAGTATTTGTTTAACCAAAAAATAGAATTTTAGTCAAAACTAGAATTTAGAAGAATCGGGTTACTGATAATTGAAAAAGTAAATAAAGAAAGAAATTTTAGAGTAAACCAAGTATGAAAGCTAGTAAATCAAAATATATTCCAATAGTCACCTCTCCCTACAATTGTTTGTTTCTTCCCTTTTTATAGCTCTTTTGGGATACGAGCCTTACCTTTGTCATTATAATGCTATTATGGGCAATTAATGACTTTAAATGTTACGTTATGCAATCATATACATTAAATACATATTCTCTAACGTTTCCAATAATTAATACTCATTAAATGCTGTATCTGGGCTCCTTTTTGCTGTTAGATTCATTCCTTTGATTTTTCACTATCTTTGAGTTTCAAATGTCTTGAATAGGTGCGAGCGTTGAATTACTTGTATGACTGCTCACACCTCCTCCATTTAATTTACTCGTATCTGTTAACCAACCTTATTTCTTTGACTGTTTGACCAGTCTATACGTCATGACACGTCACCATATACATAAATATAATTTTTCCCAATATAGATAGTCCCCCCACTTTCCATTTATTCATCAGTTTGAATATTTGGAAAGTGAAATTCATTTAAGGGAGAATTTTTGTCACCATTAATGCTCTGACAAAATTTGACGCTTCACTTATTACTTTCATTTAATGCGCTAAATACGTGTCATCTTCTTATTGGTCATACAATTGTATAGCACTTTTTTAGGCTTTCTTTTCGGCTTCCCTGTCCACGAAGTGTCAGTTATCATTATTATGGACTTCCCATCACTATACTCTTTCCTTCTGACGGTCATTCATCGGTATAAATATGACTTCCATCTTTGTCTTCTACCATTTAAAGCGTATTGAACGCTTTAATTTTTCAAAACTTTTATTCACTTCTTCTTCACTTCAATCTCCTTTGTCATGGCTTCTCCGAACCCTAACCCTAGAAGAACACATATTTTAGACAGCTTTCCCAATGCTCCTGTTAGGCATAGAAGAGGTGGTGGTGGTAGACTCCGTAGTTTGGGATCTATCCGTGGTGGTAGTTCACTCCACTCACACCTTCTTCTAGTTCTGGCCCTTCTTCTAGAACTGGAGGTTCCCATTCTCAAAGGTTTTCTTCCAGAAACAAAGAATCCTCTGAACCCTTACGCGAACCTTTAGTGGAAGAAATAGTTCCAATGGACTTATCNGTTGGATATATGGTCTCTTTGTTTCATGAGCTATACCAGAAAAAGGAGGAATCTTTATATGGATTCTGCACTTTTTTTCTTGTTTCTGTTGCATCTTTTCTTTGATTGAATGTTATTTTGATTCAAAAGGAATTATTGGTAGGAGAAATCTCACTTTATGTAAAGAGAGGAGTGAGTTAAAAGAAGGGTAAGAAGATCAACGATGACAAAAAGAATTTCTTTTACTGACAACCTAATCGTCGGTTTGCTCTCAAAAGAACTAAGAAAATGATCCTCTTTCTAATTTAATTCGGGTTACGGGTTATTAAGGGGTTTGAGTCGGTTACTTCCACCGTGGCATTTCAGGTGGAGTTTCAGGTGGAGTTTTAATTGCTGGTGTGGAATTCCGTTAAAAATAAGGGTAAATGTGGCTACTTTTCTAACGGCATGGACTTAAATGTGCTGATAGTATAACAAGGGACAATATAATACTATTTTTCAAAGTAGAAGGATAAATCAGACCCTTTTCCCTATATTTTATTTTTCTGTGAATATGTATACATAGCTCGAGAATCCCATCCTAAATCTGCATCTTGTTATACCACATGGGAGTTATTTGAGTTTTGAAAAAAAGAAAAGAAAAGAGAGACCATAGAGCAACACTAGAAGCAGAAGAGACTTGGAAAAGCAGAAACAACTCGTTTATTTTCAGAGAACCCTACCAAAAACAGGTCTTTCTTGTATTTTTGCGCCCCAAGTCCATATCTCTATCACCATTTCTCTGTACTACTGCCAAAACCCCTCCAAACACTTGTAACTAAAATGGCTTTAAGAGGGAGACATGTCCTTTCGTTCCCTCTCTTTCCTCGAGTCCAAAACTTAAATAGTGCCTATCAATAGAAGGGAAAACATTTTCCAAAATTCTTTTCCAATCTTTCCCATCCTATTTTCCATCCTCACCAACACCCCACCAACCCACCTCCACCTCCACCCCCACCCACCCTAACCCCGCTCCTACCTCCACCCTCACCCCACCCTAAATAGAAATATTATTAATAGTACTTTCATTTTATGTTATAGAGTACTTTTTTTCATTTCAACAAATGATGTGATGACCCGATAGGTCATCTAGAGTTTAAACCTTAATTCTGTGTTACGAAGCGTCCAATAGCTTCTTTAAGCCTTCCTCAATTTGCGCGCACAGTCTGGGTATTTTTTTGGGAAAGCTTTATGTTAAAAATTGATAAAATATGAAATTTTGCCTTAAAAATTCATTTGAGTTG